TTCGCATGTAGGACGATAACTTGAAAAACGCTGTGTACAACACCGAAATTCCCCAATTCTCTCATGAAATTCAGAGATGCCCAATTAGTGATTTAAAGAAACTATTTCCGCAGACGCAAGTGCACGATTCAGCACTGATTGCGTTTCGAATCAATTAAAACAAAAAAAACGGCGCTTCCCATCTCTGAGAACTTAGCATGATCCCCCTGTTAACGTTAACCCTGCCTTTTCCCTTGTCTCTCCTGTTTTTACTACACCAAACACTTACTGTGAGTGACTACTGAAACTGGCTGCCCGAGCATGGCGTTTGGTGGTCAAGGTTGGTTGTTCCTATGGTTGTGCGGGGGGTGCGGTGGTAGCTGGGACGTTGGTGGGGCGTGTGTGGGTGGTAGTTAGTTCGATAGCGATTCTGGGGGCTCGTCGTCGATCCTGTGTTGGGGACAATCAGGGCCGTTGTGTACCCGGGGAAGGGTGGGGGGGGTTTTGGGGGGGTGTTTGCGAAGGGTGTGGGTTTGGGATATTGTTTTGGGTATGGTGGGGAAAAGGGGGGACGGGGGAGGGTTTATGTTGGTTGGTTGAAGAGAGAGGGATAGAGAGAGAGAGAGAAGAGAGAGAGAGAGAGAGGATAGAGAGAAAAGAGAGAGAGAGAGGGATAGAGGAGAGAGAAGGGATCGCGAGAGGGGAGAGCGGGATAGAGGGGAGAGAGAGGGAAAGAGGAGAGAGAGGGGGAATAGAGAGAAGGAGAGAGAGAGCGAGCGGAGAGGAGAGAGGAGAGAGAGAGAGAGAGAGAAAAGGGAGAGGGGGAGAGAGAGGAGGGAGAGGGGGAGAGAGAGGGAGAGGGAGAGAGGAGGGGGAGAGAGGGAGAGAGAGAGGGAGAGAGGGAGGAGAGAGGGAGAGAGGAGGGGGAGCGAGGGGGAGGGGAGAGGCGAGGGAGAGAGAGAGGGAGAGAGAGAGAGGGAGAAAAGAGAGGAGAAGAGAGGGGGGAGAGAGAGAGGGGAGAGAGAGAGAGAGGGAGAGAGGGAGAGGGAGAGAAGAGGGAGAGGGGGAGAGAGGGAGGAGAGAGGGAGGGAGAGAGGGAGAGAGGGAGAGGAGAGGGAGAGGAGGAGAGAGGGAGAGAGTGAGGGGAGGAGAGGGAGGGAGAGAGAAGGGAGACGAGGAGAGAGGAGGGAGGGAGAGAGAGGGGGCGAGAGGGAGAGAGGAGGAGGGAGAGAGAGAGCGAGAGGAGAGGGAGAGGGAGAGGGAAGGGGGGAGGGAGGGAGAGAGAAGGAGAAGAAGGGAAGAGGGGAGGAGGGGGGAGAGAGGGGAGAGAGGGGAGGGCGGAGCGGGGGAGAGAGGGAGAGAGGGAGCGGGAGAGAGGAGGGAGGAGGGGAGGGGGGGAGGGGGCATAGGAGAGAGAGAGGGAGAGGAGAGAGAGGAGAGGAGGGGAGAGGAGAGAGGACAGGGAGAGGAGGGGAGAGGAGGTAGGATTCGGAGGGGGAGAGTCGGTATATATAGAGAAGATAATAGATAAGAGAGCGAAAGGAGAGAGAGAAAGAGATAGCGAGAAAGAGAGAGAGATGTTCTTATGATATATATATATTATATTATATATATATATATATATATATTATATATATTATATATCTTATAATATATATATTATATATATATATTATATATTTATATATATCTATATATACTTTAATTATTAAATATCTTTCTTATATATCTAATATCTATATTTCATACATCATCAATTTTATAATATATCTCTCAATCAATTATAATTATATTCACTATTAAACTCATCTTTCCCCTAATATTAATATAATTATCTATATTTAATTTTCTTCTTTTTATATAAATTTTCTTATACTTATATATATATATCTATATCTATTATCTAATACAATTATCTTATCTCTTTAAAATATATCTTCTTTATCTATTCACCTCATATATATCTATACAACTCTCACATTTTTCTTCTTAATACTTCCTATCCTCAATCTCTCCTCTTACATATTAATATCAATCTTACACAAATATATATATTATATCAATTCACATATATATATCACTACTCACAATTATATATTTCATTAAATACATATCATCTTTATATCACATATATATATATAATCTTTCTCTATATTATTATATATTCTTAATATCTATCTCTTTATCTTAATAATATCACCTATAATCAATCTCTCTTATATATATCATACACTCTTATATCTTATTAATATCTTCCCCAATACAAATCACAAAATTAATCTATATCTCTATCCATAACCAAACACACAACAAAAACCCCCAAAAAAAAAAAAAACCCCTTACAAACCCCCCCCCCCCCCTTTTTTAAAAAAACCCCCCCCCCCCCCAAAAAACCCCCCCCCCCCCCCCCAAAAAAAAAAAAATAAAAACCCCCCCCCCCCCCCCCCAAAAAAAAAAAAAAAACCCCCCCCCAAAAAAAAAAAAAAAAACCCCCCCCCCCCCCCCCCCCCCCCCCCCCCCGGGGAAAAAATTTTTTTTTTTTTTTTTTTTTTTTTTTTTTTTTTTTTTTTTTTTATTTTTTTTTTTCTTTTTAAAAAAAAAAAAAAAAAAAAAAAAAAAAAAAAAAAAAAAAAAAAAAAAAAAAAAAAAAAAAAAAAAAAAAAAAAAAAAAAAAAAAAAAAAAAAAAAACACCAACACTACACCCCCCCACCACTCAACCCCCACCCCAAAACCCCACAAACACACTCCCCTCCCTCACACACACACCCCAAACCCCACACCATACACACACACACCACACACCACACACACCACACACCACACAACACAACACACACACACACTCCACAACACACACACACACACACCTACACACACACACCCACACCCCCACACCTCACTCACACACACAAAACAACACACACACACACACACCACACACACACACACACACACCCACACACAACACACACCACAAAACACCCCAACACCCCACACACCCCCCCACACAACACACACACACACACCCACACACACACACACACATTACACACACACACACACACACACACACACACACACCACACACACAACACAACACAACAACACACACACACACACCCCCACACACCACACACACACCACACACACACCACACACACACACACACCCCACAAACACAAAACACACACACACCACACACACACACAACACACACACACACTCCAACACACACAACACACACACACACACACACACACACACCACACACACACCACACCCCACACACACACCACAAAACCCAACCACACACACACACACACACACCACACCACACACTCACAACACACACACAACACACACACACACACCACACACACACACACAACACACACACACACACACACACCACACACCACCCCACACACACACACACTCACACACCCACACCACACAACACACACCCACCCCACACCCCAACACAACACACACACACCACACACACACACACACACACACACACACACACAACACACACACCACACACACACCACACCCACACACAACCACACACACACACACACACACCACACACACACACCCCACACCACACACACACACCCCAACACATACCCCACAACACACACACCACCCCCACACACATAACACATCCCCACACCCACACACACACACCACACACACACACCCCAAAACACACACACATACACACATACAAAACCCACACACACACACACACACACACAACACCCCACCACACACACACACACACACACACACTCACACACACACACACACACACACACACACAACACATACACACATACACACACACACCACTGAGACATGGTGACCCAAGAAGAAAGAAAAAAGTTTCGTCATCATTCTACACTTTCACCATCACTCATACATAATCACTGTCTTTGCAGAGGTGTCCAGGTATGATGGTTTACATGTCCCTCCAAACTGCCAATATCACAAACCCCTCCTTTAACATGCAGGCATTGTACTTCCCACTTTAAGGACTCAAATCTGGATAACCAGTTTCCATGAATCCCTTCACAAAATATTACCCTGCTCACACTCAAACAGCTTGCCGAGTCCCAAAAACCATTCGTCTCTATTCACTTCTATCTAATACGCTCATACACACTTGCTGAAAGTCCAAGCCCCTCGCCCACAAAACTTCCTTTACCCTCTCCCTCCAAATTTTTTGAGAACGACTCCTACCCTACCTTCCTCTCCCTGCAGATACTCTCTCCAAGTCATTCTACTTTGTTCCATTCTCTCTAAATGACCAAACCATCTCTGCAACTCCTCTGAATAATAGTTTTAGTAACTCCACACCTCCTATGTTTCCACACTGTGAATTCTCTGTATAGTATTTACACCACACATTGCCCTTAGGCACAGTGTCTCCACTACCTCCAACCTTCTCCTTACTGCAGCATTTACAACCCATGCTTCACACTTGCTTCAGACATGTTGGTACATAATGTTCTCAATCACCACCACCAGCATTATATCCATCCATGTTTCTTGTACCCTGTGTGGTTCCAGATTTTTTTTTCACACATACATACCAATACAAATATTTTCATGTTCTGCTGCATTAGAATTTTATGACTGTTCTGCAGTATTAACAAAATTCTTCAATGGTCAGTAAAAAAATAGCATGATATGCAGTGTTAATTAATTCTAATTACTCAGATATGGAAAGAATGAAGAACACAAAAGGGATACTCAGCAAAACTCAGGGAGATCACCTCATAGAATGAATGAAATATGTAAATGATTTTAGTATAATGCCAGCTAACTTATCATTTAGTGAATCCAGTAAGTACAAGAATTTGCAACATCAACAATAATATCTATGACAAAAACATTTAAAATTTCCATTCCAAATTGTTCATTGGTTGCTAACTTACTAGTACAGTACAGTACCTTATTTCAGGTATTGTGGATATCTGCAGCACTGATTTTAATCTTTCTTTATCATCAGCATTGATGACCCTCTGAAGAAGAATGCAACAATTGGGTTCATCAACAACTTTGGTCAGATACCCAAACAGCTGTTCCGGAAACCTCACCCTTGCAAGAAACTGTCTGGTCAGCGTACATCCATCATAGATGCAGGACCCCTCTCTCAGGCTCCCACAGTAACACCACTAGAAAAGGTTTTCTTCCATAACCTTGATAACTTGAGACCCTCAATGCAAGCAGTTAAAGGTAAGTTGAACAACCTTATAATGTTGCTCAGTAATTGCAGCCAGTCCTCAGATGTTCACTTTCAATATGGGTCATTTAAATTTTAGTAACCTCATAACTTGATGTCATTTACAGCTCCAAAAATATTACAGAATATGAAATATTGTGTCAAATACCCACAGTTATCTGGTTTTGTAGTTGCCAGTCATGAAGTGTTATTGACTTGGAAGTTGTGTCTTTTGGCTCTCTCGCATATTTTTATGATGATCTTGAAGCATTAATGCCAATGGTTGCATGACTACAGGAAGACTGGGGGCAGTGGGTTGAAAACCCGACCCAGCAGGACCTTAGTAATTTGGGGAGGGGCATTATCACACAAGCCAAAGCCAGAGTCAGCAGCCTGAGGTCAAACACTGTCAGGGAAAATATTTAAACATATTTTTCATCATCCTCAAATTATTTGGTATCTCTCAGAAGTTCACACCAATATTGGCTGTTGGATTTTTTTTCCTCCAAGGCTTCATATGACATTGGGAGTTGAGCAGGGTAATCAAGGGGGTGCAAAGGGAGAAAATTGTAAATGAACTAGATAAGAGTAAGGTGATGGGGGTATCATGATTTTTGGGTAAAGAAAAATTGGTTATCACATTGGAGGAAGCGAGTATGGAGAAGTGAATGTTTTCAGATATTTGGAAGTTGACTTGTCAGGGGATGATGTTATGAAAGGGTGAGGTTAACCATAGAATTGATGAAGGAAAAAAGGTGAGTGGTGTGTTGAGGTATCTGTGGAGACAAAAAATGCTATCCAAGGAGACAAAAAAGGGAATGTACGAGAGTATAGGGGGTACCAAATTCTTATAGGGTGTGAAGCATAGGTTTTAAATGCTGAAATTAGGAGGAGGTGTGGAGTTACTAAAAGTACATGTATTAGTCAGAGGGGTTGTTGAGGTGGTTTTTGGGCATTTAGAAAGAATGGATCAAAGTAGAATGACTTGGAGAGCGTATAAATCTGTAGGGGAAGGAAGGCGGGGGGGAGGGGTCATCCTCGAAAAGGTTGGAGGGAGGGGGTTTTGTGGGGATGGGGTTTGGACTCGCAGCAAGCATCCGTGAGTATGTTAGATAGGAGTGAATGGAGATGAATGGTTTTTGGGACTTGACAAGCTGTTGGAGGGGTGAGCAGGGTAATATTTTGTTTAAAGGGGTTCAGGAAACCAGTTAGCCGGAATTGAGTCCTGGAAATGGGAAGTACAGTACCTGCACTTTAAGGAGGGGTTTGGGGGTATTGACAGTTTGGAGGGACATCTAAACTGTCATATCTGGGCACCTCTGCAAAGCCAGTGATTTTTATATGGGGTGATGGTGAAAGCAATTGATGATGAAGTTTTTTCTTTCTTTTTGTGTTTTTCTTTCTTTTTGGGTTGCCTGAGTTGGTGGGAAACACGCTGACATGTTAAAAAAATAAATGTATTAAGTTATTCAGGGAAACTGGTGAGTCGGATTTGAAAACCTGGGGTGGGAAGGGCAGAAACTGTACTCTGAAGGAGGGATTGGGGAATGTTGCAGTTGGAAGGGGTAATCTTATTGTGATGTCAACACAAATTCTGGAAAGACGGCAGTTGAGTAAGTTTTGATGAATGTTGTCTTCTTAGGGTCACCCTACCTTGGCGGGAGACAGCCATTGTATTAGGAAAAAAAGAAAAAGTTTAAGAACATTCTTTGTATCACTTCAAACTAGTAGAAGGTTTGAATTATTATTTTAATGTGCAGGTACCAATATGCCAGTTTTATTTTAAAATTTTGGGAGATTTTTAATTTATAAATTGAGACTGGCTTTTCTGAATGACTTCAAACTTAGAGTAGTTGCCCTAACATAAAAAAAAAAACTTCATTTAAATTTTAGGCTGAAGGTGCAAATTTGCCAGTTTCCTAACAGTTAAAAAATTTGAGATTATGGGTTTGCATGTGGTAACTGGAGAATGCCTCTAATAGTTAGTGTCAAACTTTCATTGCTAGTGTACTTTCCTTTTAATTAAGGTTTGCAATGGTAATGGGTTATGCCAGTTTGTCAATTTCACTAACAAATTAGGATATTGCTTTTATGCCATACCCAGAGAATGCTTCTTCTGATTGACTTCAAACTTTCACAAGTTGGTGTATCTTACCTATAGGAAGGTTTGGATTAGTTTTAGCCAGTGTATGCACCATACCACTTTGTCAGAGCCATGCACAGTGTACTGTGTGTTTCAATGTGTGTTAGTTCATGAAACATGGATCTATGCACAGTACTGTGTGTTTCAGAATATGTTAGATCATGAAACATGGGTCCATGAACAGTACTTTGTGTTTCAGAATGTGTTAGATCATGAAACATGGATCCATGCACAGTACTGTGTGTTTCAGAATGTGTTAGATCATGAAACATGGATCCATGCACAGTACTGTGTGTTTCTAGATGTGTTACATAAGGAAACATGGATCCATGCTGTTACGAAGTTGGGGGATCCCAGGAGGTAAAATACCGTTCTAGGGGTAAATGCATAATTATTAAAATAAACCACCATAGGGCCACACACCCTTATAAACTTTAAAACAGCTCTAAACAGGTGGTTTGTACTGTTATTAACCCTTTCACTCTCCAGACCATTCTCGGTGTCCAAAAGTACCCCCACCTCCCTTCCTCACCAACAAAAAAAAAAAACTTATGAGATAGTAAAGAATTTTTTTATGAAGGAGATAACACAAAAAGTACAAAATTTGATGGAAAACTTATGGAATAACACTGGCGCAAAGTTAGTATAGTCTCAGTGCAATTTATGCACCAACAATTTCGCCCACTTTGAGTCCTATTTTAAGCCAATTCCATGGTTGGAGTCAACGAAATTCCTAGATATTTTGCTAATATGTCTTCCATTCTATTGATTGACTACCCAGACAACCATTTCAACTTACCTAGAAAGTGATCAGAATTTAGTAATTTAGCAAATTTCACACAAAATTAAAAAAAATACCAATTTAAAAACTCTCCATAATAAACAATATAGTCTCTCACTCACTCACTACGAAAGCAAAAGACTTGGCAGACGATGCACCATCCCCCCAATGAAAAGCAGGGGTGTCACTAGCACGTTAAGAGACCATACAATAAGTGTCAGGGGCCCGAGACTGTTCAACTGCCTCCCAGCACACATAAGGGGGATTACCAACAGACCCCTGGTAGTCTTCAAGCTGGCACTGGACAAGCACCTAAAGTCAGTTCCTGATCAGCCGGGCTGTGGCTCGTACGTTGGTTTGCGTGCAGCCAGCAGCAACAGCCTGGTTGATCAGGGGCTGATCCACCAGGAGGCCTGGTCACAGACCGGGCCGCGGGGGCGTTGACCCCCGAAACTCTCTCCAGGTAAACTAAAACAACATTTCCTCTGTTCATTAGTCATGACCCCAGGCCTCTCCTGTATTACACCTGCTTTCCATTTTTAATTGTTATTCACACAAAAACAGAAGATTTACTTTATTTCTTGGGTAATGATGTACATGTATACAGGTCCGCCATCACAAATCCGGCAATCAGTTATTCGGTTCCTTCAGTTATTCGGCACTAATTTTGGCTAGAATAATTTCAAATTTCCAGGGTCACCACACCAACCTACTGGTACTGTTTGGTGGCGCTACTTGCTGCATAAGTCATTCCAATTTCTCTTTCTCCATTTATTGTTTTAACCTGCTTACTTTTAGCCCTAGCCATGGTTCCAATGAATAAAAGAAATGCCTCTCATTATGTAAAGCACCTACACAGTACATTATCCATTAAAGATAAGGTGGCTTTAAAGCCACTGTCAGTTGTCATGAACTCAGTCTCATGAAGCAGGAGAATATGCTTTATTATTACGCTAATATCAACACTACAGCTTATTTGCCTATCACAATTGATCTAATATGACATAAGAAACAATATAAATAACATAAAACATGTTAAATACTCCAGAATGAATAATATTTGGCATAACACCGAGCAGTTCGATGGAGGTATGAAGAGGATATGGTATACAAATACCATTCTCCTATGAAAGTTAAGACACTTGTGCAACATCTGGTTATCTTTATTATAGACGTTTCGCCATCCAGTAGAGATTCTCTACAACCATGGTTGTAGAGAATCTCTACAACCATGGTGCTGTAAACACCACCTCCAAGGCTGAGGGACTGATTACCTCATCTTTTGTGTATAGTTTTTCTGTTTTCTAATTATGTCCAAGAATCTGTATTGATAAAGCCACTGGATGGCGAAACGTCTACAATAAAGATAACCAGATGTTGCACAAGTGTCTTAAGTTTCATCTTGTCGGTATTGTATACCTGTCTTGCACACCATTCTCCTATCCCTGCCTTGGGGCTTATATTAGAGAAAACGGAGTGTAGCATAGGGCTAACTGTAATATACACTCATACTGCACCATAATCATGAAACAAAATTTATTTTCTCTATATAGATTATCACACATAGCAGCATATGTGTAGAGAACCTAGGATAACCCAAAAAAAGTCAACATGGCTTATTTTTAGTACCTGGCTTGGGTTAGCCATATATGATTTTTGGTAAATATTTGATTCCCAGCCAGGGTAGAAACATTAGGTGTGTTTCTTTACACCTGTTGTCTATGTTTACCCATCAGTAAATGTGTACCTGGGTGTTAGGCGACTAGTGTGGATGTTATCCTGGGACACTCACCTAATTTTCTTAAAATACTCAGCATAACAAGTGGCTTTCTATACAGTAGTATGTCACTGATGTCAGCTAGGCCTGTATACCTTATACATGTACATGTAGTAAATAAAGATATTATTATTATTATTATATTATTTTCTCAGATGTTTGTTGGGTTATCTTATTTAAACTTGGGAAATGTATGATGGAAAGATACTTCTTCACGTACACCAAAAATTAAAGAAATCAGACCATAAATAGCGGAGTTCACTTCTCAGCCATTAGCGGCTGCTTAGCGGTATATTTTTGTATGGTTGTTATG